TCGAGCCCCGCTTTGTCAGTCGGTTTAGTACTAAGCGCCAAAGATAACCGGTGACAGCTGGAGTGTGCTCGGGAATAAAGTACAAACACCCCAGAAAACTGGGGAAACAGCAACGCGAAGTGAACCTTAGGAAAAGCTAGTAAGTGCCACGAAAGTCCGTGTAGACCCTTTGGGTGCTGGACAGGGGGGTCTCATCGCTTTACCCTACAGATTCAATGAACTTCTGAGGCCAACCCTGTTAGATAGGTAAATATTTCAAACTCTCTCCTACAGACACGAAGGAGGTCCTGGAGCTGGCCAGTGAGTTGCTCAGGGGTGTAAGGTGAGGGAGGGCAAGGCCACTTGGACTCACGCTGTATTTGACAAAGTGGGGTCAAGCTCATACGGTAAGCTCACCTCAGCTGCCACGCATTCATCAGTCCACAAGGCTGTGGCGTAGACGCAGCATTTCCGCCCCAGTTATCAATACAGTGAAAAGTATACAGCGAGCCTGGCGTGGTGGCATGGGTCTGTACCCTCAGCACTCAAGAGATGGAGGCAGGACGAGCCTCCAGAGTTCAAGGTTAGATTGCGCAGGAACACCCTGCCTCAAAAATAACTAACTAACTAACGAACTAAATAACCAAAAGAGTAAATAAATAGTATACAGAGGCTACCTGTTCACCCATTCCTATAGCATTGGGAATAATGCATTAGTAGAAAATATAAAGCTACTATGATTAAAAATTCATAACTAGTCCCCTATGATAAAATATAAAAGTTGAATCTTATGAATTCGACTCTGCAGAAATATGTTTAATATTGCACTTATCAGAAGTGTGACGTTTGTTTAAGTGGCTTTATGGAGGGACAGGTGAGTAAACTAATTGAGGACAGTTGGTAGAGTTCCAAGTGCTTAAAAATTTTACCCCTGGGGGCTGGAAGGATGGCTCAGTGGTTAAGAACACTATTTGCTCTTCCAGAGAACCTGGGTTCAATTCCCAGCACCCACATGGCAGCTCACAACTGTCTGTAATTCCAAGATCTAACACCATCACACAGACATCCATGCAGGCAGAACACCAATGCACATAAAATAAAAATAAATAAGTTATTAAAAAATTATCTCCAGAGCTGGATATGGTGACACATACCTTTAATTCCAACACTCCAGAGCGAGGAGGATCTCTGTGATTTTGAGGACAGCCTGGGCTACACAGTGGAACTCTGTCTCAAAAAAAACTAAATAAAAACAAAATTAGAAAATATTGTCTTTGGACTGATGAGACAGCTCAGCAGGCTAAAGAGCTTGCCGTGCAAACCCACTGGCCTGAGTTTGATCCTGGGCACCCAGGGTGGAAGGAGAGCTCTGAGTGCCAGGCAAGCACCAAGACACACACCTTCAGCGCTAATAACAAAAAAAAATTAAATGTGAAATATATGTATGGGCCGGTAGAGCATTTCTCAGTGATAGAGAACTTGCCTAGGATGGGAAAGGCCCTGGGTTCGGGCCACAACTGGATCTTTACAAAAAAATACGTGTTCTAATGTTTAGTATAACAAATTGAAACTCAGAAGAAAACTTTTTGCATTTTAAAAGTAATGTTGAAATTAAGTTTTAAATTAAGTCATGTATTTGTTGTATGTACTCGCATGTGTACCCACATGTGTGTGGGCTCGTACTCGTGTGTGCATGCACATTTGGAGGCCAGAGGCCAGTGCTCAGTGCCATCTCCTGTTGCTTTCCACCTGTGAGTGCTGGATTATATGACCACCATGCCTAGTTTTAGGTGGTACTGGGGACTGAACCCAGGTCTTTGTCTTTGCTAGGCAACCAATTGAGCTACATTTCTAGCCCACATACTTATCTGTGTGTGTGTGTGTGTGTTTGTATGTCAACACTTAACATCTATTATCACCAATTTATGACTGTATCATATTGTTATTAACTGTAATAATCATGAAGTTTAGAGATATTAATTTCTACTCTTCTAGTGGACTAACTACACCCAATGATTCCTTTTGGTGCCAGTTTCTTTATCTGATTATTATAAGCATTGCAGGAAGTAGAATACATTAATTACTTAGCAGCCTGCCTAAGGTATGTTAAATATGCAGCATACTTTTAGAAGCTGTTCTGGTTTTAGATGTATTTATTTTTCTGTGCAGGAGTGTTTTGTCTGCATGTGTGCATGTGTACCGAGTACATGCCTGGTAGCCACGGAGGCCATAAGAGGACATCAGCTCGCCTGTAACTGCAGGTACAGATAGATGGTTGTGAGCCACTGTGTGGGTGCTGGAAACTGAGCACAGGTCCTCTGCAAGAGCAGACAATACTCTTAACCGCCGAGACATTGCTCTAAGCCCAGCCAGCATATTTTAAATAATCTTTAAAAATAATATATGGGGAAAAGGCAAAATTAAAATAATACAGTGCTTTCTTTTGTCACTGTATTTTTTTTTTGTTTGGTTTTTGTTTTGAGACACAGACTTCCAGTGTAGCCCAGGCTATCCTCAAGTTCAGAATCCTCCTGCTGAACCTCTAGACTGTTGGGTTTAAAGGTCTGAGCCTAATCCCAGCTCTCAGGGAGGCAGAGGGAGGCAGAGGGATGCAGATTGCTGTGAGTTTGAAGCCAGCCTTGCTCTACAAAGCTAGTCCAGGACAACCAAGGCTATAGAAAAAAAAACAAAAAAACAAACAACAACAACAACAACAACAAAACCAAAAAAGTCCAAGCCATCACACCCAGCTACTGATTCCTTCCATAACTACTGTTGTTATTTGGGATCTCCAAGCAAAAGTCAGATTTTTGTTGTTGATTAAGAAGAGAGGTTGAAGGGCTAAAGAGATGGTTCCACAGTTAAGAGCACTTGCTGCTTTTCCAGAGGACCAGGGTTCAAATCTAGCACCCACATGGTAGTTCACAACTGTCTGTAACTCCAAGATCTGACATCCTCACACAGACATACATGCAGGCAAAACAACAACAGCAGCAAAAATAAACAAAACAAACATGAGTAGTGTAAGCTGGGCAGTGGTAGTGTACAGCAGAGGCAGAGGCAGTTGGACCTTTGAGTTCCAGGACAGCCAGAGCTAGAGAGAGAGAGAGAGAGATTGACAGAGCAGTGGATAATAACGTTCTAGTCAGAACCCAGTGGAACAACACAAGTATTCTGGCTAAATTCCAGTGTGAGTGGTTTACATTCTCCAACTTCAAAATAAATTTTATTATTAGCCAACACTTGTCCATCGCAGCAACATACACGAGGGTAATAGGCCTCCCTTGGCACGTTGGCAGGCTGCACATACTTTCCACTGGGGTTCCTTCCTTTTCTGACTGGTGTGCTATAGTCTTTCACCCTCCACCGACTCCAAGCCTAAGATGTTTGCAGACCCCGAGGGCCCAGCAGTTACTAAGAACAAAAGAGATTAAACACGTGCACCTTACAGAATTCTAGGAACGGAGAGATGCACATTTTAAACATATATTAACAGCTGCGATGTCTGTGAAGAGGTGGTTTATTCCTTTTTAAACTTGGTGAGATTAAAACACGCAGTTCCATTAGTTTCCACAAAGCCTTGTTGACAAACCGAAGATGGCTTTTCAGCCTGTACAAATGGCACAGAAGACAATAACAACACCCAACAGATCTCAGCCAGGGAGGCCAGCTCAGAGATCCTTCCAGTATCCCTATGCCCTCCCCCTATTTCACATTCACACACACCCCCCGCCCCGCCAGCGGAAGGAAGGAGCAGCGTACAATTTAAAGACTCTTCGTAAGCGTGTGAATGAATTTCAAGCACGCTAGACACCTCGGTCTCCCACCCTAATTAGAACACGTAGAAAAGGAAGCGTTTGTGGGACATTTAAAACTTGCAGTCTACCAACCCAACAGGAGAGCGCCACTGAGCGTCCCTGCGTTCACCGCGCGCGTCGGGTCTTCCCGCGGCCCCCGGCTGCCCCCGTGCGCCCCCCTTCCCGGGTCCCAACCTCGCCAGGGCGCCCAGCAGCTAGCCCTGCGGGGACCCAGCACCCTGAGCCGTGCGCGGTCCCAGCCCAGGCGTTTTTCTCTGCGGGAGACTTGGGACCCGCCGGAAATTATAAACCTCGACTGCTAAGGACTAACATCTCCAGAGACTTCCAAAACCGTAAGGAAATCCATTCTCCTGTCACAACGGTTAAGATCTGGTTGCCTACGGGAGAAGGCAGAGCCTGGGAGACCTCGATAGTTCCAGCGGGAGGGGGAGAGTGGTGATGGTGGCGAACCCTGCCGCCCAACTTCTGGTTTCAGATTCCAGGTGTGCCATGAGAGCGCCTACTGTGCGCCAGGAGCGCCTACAGGGAGGGGCGCTACTCTGTGCAGGTCCCCGCTGTCTTGTTAGCTCAGCTGCTGTAGGTCAAGTCCTGAGGCGCTCTGGCCTCAGAGTCCTACGGTATCCGGACCGCGTATCAAGGTGTAAACGATTAACCAACACGAGGTTGCTCGTTCAGTCCTAGGCGCGTCTGTCACCCAGCACCGGGCGGCTCGGAAGGGAGACAGGTGGCGCGGCTGAAATTGACAAGCGCGGGGGCCCGGTAGGGACGCTCGGCCAGAGAGAGGTGGCCCGAAGCCCTGGAAGGGGGCGTTCAGAAAGCAGAACCCCCCAGGAGAGCGAGCCCGACGGCGGCGGACAACCGCGGAGAAACTCCGGGAGGACTTGGGGCCAGCTTTCCCGCCCGGCTTCTCCGGGAGGCCTCATTAGCATCGGCCCCGCCCTCTCCGCCTCCAGGCCCCGCCCTCTTCGCCTCCAGGCCCGCGATTGGCCGGCGCTCTTCCGCGGCTCCGGCTCCGGGCGGGGCCGCGGGGGGGCGCTCGCGGAGAGTCCCGGACGTCGGGGCGGTGGGCGGGGACGTGGTGGAGGGGAGCGCGCGGCGGGGCTGCCCAGCTCCGGGCAGGGCGGGAGGGGGCGGGCCCGGGGCGGGGCCTCCCGGCGGGCATTAGAGGCAGGTGACCCGGGCGGGACGGGAGAGGGCAGTCAGCCCGCGGCCGTGCCTCCTCCTCCGCCGCCGCCGCCGTCGCGCACCGCTCGGCGCTCCGCTGGAGGTGGGCGAAAGAGTGCGAGGGCTCGGGGGAGGAGCCGGACGGGGCGCGTCCCCAGAGCGCCGCCACCGCCCGCCCCCCGGACTCGGCTGGAGCGCGGAGCCCCCTGCAGGGGAGGCGGCGAGCGGCTGGCGGGACGCGGCGGCGGCGGCGGCGGGCGCGGACCATGCAGTCCCGGCCCGGCGGCCAGCGCCGGCTGCTCGCTGTGCTGTGAGGTGGCGGGGTCCCCTCCGGCCGCCGCACCTCCAGGCGCTGCCCGGCGCCCTTGCCCTTCACCCCGACCCCGGGACACCGGTGGAAGGCACGGCCTGCCCCTGCCCCGCTCCGCCCGAAGCATGCAGAGGGCTCCGAACGAAGACAAGGCGGCTCACCGGCGCGCGCCCGCCGTGGTCGAGGGGCGCCCTGCTCTCTGAAACGGCTCCCCACCTGCTGCCATGCGTCGCCGCCACAGGTACCCAGCTCGTCGTTAAACTTTTCCAGATCCGGCCCGGGTCGGAGTCGCGGGGCGGAGGGGCCCGGCTGGCTGCGGACGTCTGCCGCCCAGCAGGACCTTCAGAGGTGAGAGCCCGCGTCTGCCCGGAACCCCAGGTCTCCCGGCTCCCCCGTCCCCTTTCTCGGGCACTGAGCTCCCTGGCCCCAGGCACAGCCTGCAGGGCCGGGCCGGGAGAGGGAGGCGGGCGCGGGCAGCGGGGTGGGAGAGAGTCTGAAGTTTGGTTCCAGGAGGTGGAGGGGAGGAAAGGAGTTCGTGTAGCGATTGGCGCCCGCTTGCAGAGACCGAGCGGCCGACGCTCCTCCAAGAGGAGTGGTTGCGATTTTTTTTTTTTTTTCTCTTTTCCCTACCTTCTCTCTTAAGAGTTCTGTCCTTGGAACCGGAGCCCTAATCGTCTCTCCAGCCCTCTCTGGCGTAGAGCTGAGCGCTGCCCGGCGGAGGCAGCGCCTTCCCGAAACAGTTTATCTTTGGACGGATTTCTTTAAAGAGAGAGAGAGAGGGAAAAAAACCCAAAACAAACAACAGGTTGCCAGCCCGAGCGTCACGCTCAAGACTCGGGAGGGAGGGAGAGGGAAGCCCCAGCCGCGGATCCGACGGGCAGTGAGAGGCCGGGCGAAGGAGGGGGCGATGGCTCGGCCTGACCCGTCCGCGCCGCCTTCGCTGCTGCTGCTGCTGCTGGCGCAGCTGGTGGGCCGGGCAGCGGCCGCCTCCAAGGCCCCCGTGTGCCAGGAAATCACGGTGCCCATGTGCCGCGGCATCGGCTACAACCTGACGCACATGCCCAACCAGTTCAACCACGACACGCAGGACGAGGCAGGCCTGGAGGTGCACCAGTTCTGGCCGCTGGTGGAGATCCACTGCTCACCGGACTTGAGGTTCTTCCTGTGCTCCATGTACACGCCCATCTGCTTGCCCGACTACCACAAGCCGTTGCCACCGTGCCGCTCCGTGTGCGAGCGCGCCAAGGCCGGCTGCTCGCCGCTCATGCGCCAGTACGGCTTCGCCTGGCCTGAGCGCATGAGCTGCGACCGCCTCCCGGTGCTGGGCGGCGACGCCGAGGTGCTGTGCATGGATTATAACCGGAGCGAAGCCACGACCGCCTCTCCCAAGTCCTTCCCAGCCAAACCCACCCTCCCAGGGCCGCCGGGGGCGCCGTCTTCAGGAGGTGAATGCCCCTCGGGAGGCCCGTCCGTGTGCACGTGCCGCGAGCCCTTCGTGCCCATCCTGAAGGAGACACATCCGCTCTACAACAAGGTGCGCACGGGCCAGGTGCCCAACTGTGCGGTGCCCTGCTACCAGCCGTCCTTCAGCCCGGACGAGCGCACGTTCGCCACCTTCTGGATCGGCCTGTGGTCCGTGCTGTGCTTCATCTCCACGTCCACCACCGTTGCCACCTTCCTCATTGACATGGAGCGATTCCGCTACCCGGAGCGCCCCATCATCTTCCTGTCCGCGTGCTACCTGTGTGTGTCACTGGGGTTCCTGGTGCGCCTGGTCGTGGGCCACGCCAGCGTCGCCTGCAGCCGAGAGCACAGCCACATCCACTATGAGACCACCGGCCCTGCGCTGTGCACGGTCGTTTTCCTGCTGGTTTACTTCTTCGGCATGGCCAGCTCCATCTGGTGGGTCATCCTGTCACTCACCTGGTTCCTGGCGGCCGGCATGAAGTGGGGTAATGAAGCCATCGCAGGCTATGCCCAGTACTTCCACTTGGCCGCCTGGCTCATCCCCAGTGTGAAGTCCATTACGGCGCTGGCACTGAGTTCCGTGGACGGGGACCCGGTGGCCGGCATCTGCTATGTGGGCAACCAAAACCTGAACTCGCTGCGAGGCTTCGTCCTAGGCCCGCTGGTGCTCTACCTGCTGGTGGGCACGCTGTTCCTTCTGGCGGGTTTCGTGTCGCTCTTCCGCATCCGGAGCGTCATTAAGCAGGGCGGCACTAAGACGGACAAGCTGGAGAAGCTCATGATCCGCATCGGTATCTTCACCCTCCTCTACACGGTGCCGGCCAGCATCGTGGTGGCCTGCTACCTGTATGAGCAGCACTACCGGGAGAGCTGGGAGGCCGCCCTCACCTGCGCCTGCCCGGGACCTGATGCTGGCCAGCCGCGCGCCAAACCTGAGTACTGGGTGCTCATGCTCAAGTACTTCATGTGCCTGGTGGTGGGCATCACGTCGGGGGTGTGGATCTGGTCCGGCAAGACCCTGGAGTCTTGGCGGCGCTTCACCAGCCGCTGCTGCTGCAGCTCCCGGCGGGGCCACAAGAGCGGTGGCGCTATGGCCTCTGGGGACTATGCGGAGGCCAGCGCCGCGCTCACCGGCAGGACCGGGCCGCCTGGCCCCGCCGCCGCATACCACAAGCAAGTGTCTCTGTCGCACGTATAGGAGGCCTGGAGGCCTAGGCCGAGGCCTAGGGACTGCGCTGGGAGTTGAAGGAGAGGGTTATTTTGCTTGCTAGCTTTGTGAAGGTCACTTCCGTTTTACCTTCTTGGTGCTGAAGCCCCCTCCCTGAGCGGGCTTGGACAGTTTCAAGAGAGTACCTACCTGCCCCCAGTATTCTACCGGGGGCTCAGCTCCAGTGCAGTGCGTTCTGGTTTGCATTTCTTACTGCCTTCTTTAGAAGTACCCTGTTTTAATTTATATGTATTTTAATTTTTTAACTTTGTTGCATTTTGGCAACAAAATTTACCTTTGCTTTCGGGGGGTGGGGGGGCTTCACAATCCTCAAGCTGGCATTGTAATGAGGTTACCATTGGTTCAGGTTGTTTTTTTTTTTTTTTTTTTTTGGGCTGTGTGGTCTAAATTAAGAAAAAAATTTCTTTTTTACTTGTCTTTTTTTTTTTTTTTTATGTGAACAGTGAAAGGCTGCTGTGACTGGGAAGGTGTGGAGTGTTTTTTTTAGCCACTTTCTCCTTACATTGTCTAAAATGTCCAAGACACTTGGAGGCTAGAGGCCATCTGCTCTTTCTCTGTCTAGCCCCCAGTCTTCCCCATGACATAGTTAGGACTGTCCCCAAGTGACAAGGTGAGGGGGCTAGAGGTTTTGTGAGCCTCCTTAACCTGGCTCAGCAAGAGTTGGGCTCTTTTCAGCTCAGCTGCGCTGACAGAGCCAGCGTCGCGTCCTGAATATGTTAGAGGTAGCATTATAGTGCCGGGCATAAACATTGGCCATAGTGAGTGAGAGCCTGAGGGATGGTTGATGGGTGAATGTGAATTCTGAACTGGTGAGGTGGTGAGCTTTGTGCCAGAGGGGGAGTGGGTGGTTCTTCATAAGCCCCAGTGATCCCTTATTGTTTAAAAAAAAAAAAAAAAAAAAAAAAAACCCACACACACACACAACAAAAAACTTGTGCTACAAATTTCAGTAAAAGTAAAACCCGCTCCCTTCTTCTGGAAGTACTTAGGAATCCTTGATAAAGGGGGCTCTCTTTTTAGATTAAAGGACAAAAAACGGATATGCTTCCAGTAATTAAAGTAAATTCCCATTGCTTATCTGCTCCTCCTACCCCACCTCCTTTATCGTGTTAAACAGTCGTTCTTGCCTTTCTCCTTCCTCCTCCTGGAGAGCCGTGATTAGAAGCCACACCCACCCTCCAATGAAGTGCTCCAACTGGGGGAAGGAGGGCCAGTTACCTGGGAACAAACATTGGCTGGGTGGAGGGAAGACCAGTGTCCCTGAACTCAGGGCTAGTTTAAAGCCAGATACTCCCCAAAGCAGCAACGCGGTGCCCTGGGCGTCTCTGAAAACAGACAAGACTCACAACTTAAGCTTTGTAGTACGGGTCAGTACAATGCTACGGCAGGACGGACCGCCTCGCTTTCTTTTCCTCTTCTGAGAGAGCCTGTATAGTTGGCGGGCACCCCACTCACACAGGTTCCCTGCTATTAGAGAAGCCTGTTTGCTCTTCTAATCTGTTTAACTATTCATTCACTCAGAGTGTGAGGCCATTCCTGGGAAAGGAACGACACTGTATCAACCAGCAAGTCCCAGGGACCAAGACAAGAGTGGGGACTAAACTTTGGGAGCTAAAATGGTCAAGCAATTACAGCTCCACAAAGCTTCCGTAGAAAAACAGCTGGAGTCTAGGCATGCTGGTTTTCATTTGCAGCAGCTGGGGGTGGGGAGGGTGGGAGTTAAGCCTGAGTCAGCTTTACCTCCCAGGTACTGAGTGGAGAAATGCATAGTTGCCACTGGGAATTTAAATGCTTAAGACTCCTAAGTCTTAAGGCTGCCCAGAGCCTCACAAAGACACTGCCCTCGATCTGCTTGAATCAAAATGAACAGTTCAGTGGCTTCCACAAAACTTCATCCACATAGCTGCAAAACTCGGTTGTATGTCTTATTCTATTTATTCACTAGCCTCTTCCGGGAACCTCAATAGACTCCCTGTCTCTGCACCATTTCTCCTGTCTTTCAAATGAGGCCCTTTTCTTATCACCTTGACCTCTCGGCTTTTTTAGCATGTCTTCCCGGAATCTGCTGCCAGAGTCAGCTGTGCCTAGTTTGGGTTGTTCCCTCTTCACAAACAAAGTTGTGGAGGAATCTAGAAAAGATGTACAGTGTATCTAAAAGTTGTGGGATGAAGTGGGTGAAAGTGATACAATTCATTTTTTTAAATTATTTTTTTTCATGTTAGCAACGTGCCAAAGCTGAAAAAAGAAAAAAAGAACAATTAATACCCTTTGAAAAATAAGGAAGTTGAAACAGATGGATGCCAAGGCTGTGGTGTAGGGGCTATGCAGATAACACCTTTGGAAGAAGCTTCAGAAATCTGTCTTGTTTCTGTTCTCATCTTTGCGCTCCCCTTTTCTTGTACCCTAAGAGGGACAAAGAGGAAGCCCACCTGTTTCCAGGAAGTCAGCATGAGCCTCTGGCCAGCCTAGAGGAGGGAAGAGGGAAGCTGCATGTCCAGATGGTTACCCCCTCTTTCCACCACGCATTTTCCTCTACTTTGCATATCTGCTGTGATAACAATACGTGAAATGAAAAGCTGTGAAGAAGTTGCTGTGAGCAACTTCTGCACTGCCAGCTTTGTGTACTGGGGAGGACTTAGAAGGCTGGTTTCAGTTGTTGGGTACATGTCTTGGGCCACTCCATCACCTTTGTGAGCACTGGGATGTTTCACAGGTCAGAGGGTGACAATTTAGATAGAAAAAAGAAAGAAATGGGACCTCGGTGACTCTGATGGCCAAATATTAGAAAATTTTGGGTTTTTTGTTTTGTTTTGTTTTGTTGTTTTTTTTTTTAAATTTTACATTATTTCCCACCTCACATTTTGGAATTGTCTAAATTGGATGAAATCAATTTTCTTGGTGCCTTATTGGTTTATTCTTGTAACCCCTTTGTCATAGCTTCATGTGACCATTCTCAGTGACCAGGGCCTGCGTGTGTATGCCTCGTAATTGTGTGCATGTACAAGCTTAAATGACGTGCCAATGGCACTGGTTCTAAGTTAGTATTCATTAGGTTGTTCTCCCCTGGGCTAGGGCAGCACTAATGTTGACACTGGCTTCCAAGAGAAAACGTCATAAACCGTACATCGAGCCTTAATGACAGCATCCATGACCTGCACTGGCTTGTAGAATGGGAACCCCCAGAGCTGGGGAGCGTAGTTGTATATTTTAATGAACTGCTACCCCTGCTAAAGAAGACAAAGGGGGGTAGGAGAGACAAAGCTTTGAATAAGTGCTTTCTAACATCAAATGTGGCAAACAGGACTGAGCACATCACAATTCTAGGCAGGTGTGAGGTACAGTGGCTAAGAATTGCCTGCTGCCTCTTGGTGCCCTTTCTTGTCTCCAAAGTCCAATCACGTGACCCTGGGAAAGGTGAAGGGTAGGTAGGCAGGATGTAACTAACCTCTTTCAAACTCTCAGAGCCTTCTGGTAGCTTGATGATAATTGCAGGATTTATTTCATCCAGGATAATGTCTGTGTGTGGTACATCGTTTTAAAAGAATATTAATTCATTTTGTTACAAACTATGTATAGTATGTATGTTTTGTGGGTGTGTATATACGTAATATATATTCTATATATATATATATGAGAGAGAGAGAGAGATTTAGTGACTTTTGATACGGGTTGGTGCAGGTGAATTTATTACTGAGCCAAATGAGGCACATACCGAGTCAGTAGTTAGAGTCCAGGGCATTCAGTGCTGTGTATGATTTGCATACATGTGTAGTGCCTATCCCATGCAGTAAGAATCATCGCTGTCATGCCATATCCAGCACTCACAAGTCAGAGCCAGCAATATTTTATTTGTAGACAATCAGCTTGAAGCTATAGATTATGACTGAAGTGATTCTGAATCTGTAACACTAGCAACAGGAAACCCAGAGCATCCTGAAGAGAGTTCGGTTTGGTTTTGTGCCTGGGAGTCAGTACAACAGCAGTTGTGTTTAGTCTCAAGATCCTTAACTTGTTGACTTTATTTTGAAAATTTTTTTGTATTATATTTGTGGGAAGGTAAAATAATGGTTTAAGATTTTTATCAAATATGGAGATTAGTTATTTATGAGAAACAAAGAAATGTCTATTTTTGTTTCTTTGTTCCCAGTTAATGTAGATAACTTTTTAAAATGCATTAAAGCAACGGTGAAGAAATGCAATGGCGCTGTAGTCTTTTTCTCCTCTGTGGAGAAATGTATCGGTTTCTAAGAATAACAGATGCAGGTTCTAACACTATCACTAACAACAGATGTCTCAGATGTCCTTAAAGTGTAGGTAGCTGCATTTTTATCAGTAAAATTGAGCAAATTCCCATTGAAAGAAGAGGAGGTAAGCACGACACATTCTCCTTGACTGTGGTTCCTGGATTTCTCCTGCCCATGCTTCCAATAATACATCTAGAGGAAGATCAGAGACATGGGCCGACAGACATGTACGCATGATGATGCCTCCTGGACACGCTTCATGCTGCAAGCTCTGTGTATCTGGGGCAGGAGCTCCCAGAAAGGCTTTTCCTTCAGCTCTTGAGCTCCAATAACTTCAAATCAGGAGCTGAGAGAGGAGCAAAATTCATTGAAAATGACACCCAGTTCCCATACCCACCTCCAGATAATTTGGACAGATGTCAGAATGCTTATTGCCAGACTTACTTCTACTTGTGGGCTTTTGCCTTGGCAAAATTCTACAGACCCCTAAGGTAACCACTACCCCATGGAGTTCTCCAGTGATACTCCCTGGCATTGTGGGAAAATGTGAGGAAAAGATGGGTACTTCAGGTTTTAAATGTATAGGACAGACGTATAATAATGACTAATTATTATGTCAATATGATCGCAGTAGACTCCAGTATAAGTCAGGGGGAGAGAGAGGAATTCTGAGAAGGAACAGCATCTTGCTGAAGAGCAACCACAGTTCCTTCCTACGTACAGGACTCATCTACCTCATCTACCTCGGCACATCTACCTCGTTCTCTTGGTTCAACTTTCACCCAGTGGAGAAAAGGTAGTCAGAAAGTGGAGCCCTGATAAGGCTGGAGAAAAGGCGGGCCCCAAAATCATTCGCAGTAACACCATTTTTTAATGACTCAATCACAGAGTTCTTTAGTTTGTCAAGATGGGAACCATGCTGAATGTTTGTGCGTATGGACTGAGGATACAGCCTGATTGTTGGTTCAAATTCCAGCTCCACTATTTATAGAGCCTGATCCGGGACACTTGTATTTCAGATTTCTTATTTTTGAAAAGGAAAGAACAGTACTTATATTTTGGGGTTTCAGAAGATTCAAAAGGCTAAATCGGGAGAAGGTAAGTAAAGTGAGGAGTCTGCAGCTGTCCCTGTTGTGGAATGGGGAGGAGTGGAGACAAGCTTTCAAAGGGTGTCTGCATAAGAATCAGTCGGGGCTCTTCCTGGGAGATAGATTCCAGTCTCAGCCCCAGGAATTTGAGATTCAGTTATCCCTGGGACTTTTGGTGGGTTTGTTTTATTTATAAAAAGATATTTGAATTTTAATAAAATATTTAAATTTTATGTAAATCTAAAATTACTCATTTAAAAATGTGCATAAATAAGAGTCCTTGTTTGCTTCTTACTAACCGCTTCCTCTAATGCTAATAATCTTTTGTTTTGAGACAGGGTCTTTCTAGCTGAACTATGTAGACCATAGGCTGGCCTTCAACTCAGAGAGCCACCAGCCTCTGCCTCCAGAGTGCTGGGATCAAAGGTGTGTTACTGTCTTAACCACAGTACATGTTTACATGCTTACATGCTTAACATGTTACAACTGAAAAGTCAATGCTGGCCCTTTACTGTGAACTCTAGACTTCATCAGATTTCCCACTAATGTTCTGGGGTCCAGAGTCCATGATACCGTATTGCATTTTGACTTTCAGCTGGTGAGAGGGGTGGCTTGAGAAACAGTGGGACTTTTAAAGGACTGCATTGTTAAAGTAGTTATGGAATTGCTAAGCACTGTTGAGTTGGAAGCTGCTGTTCTGGGGAACAGGCTGGCACAGGTAAGCTAAGGAGCTAGTTATTCTTGGATGCCATAGAAAACCTCCATTTCTGGAATTGAAGCTGGCACCAATGGAGGGCTTTTCTGGTATCCATCATGAAGAGTGCAGTGTTGGACATTAGTGACAAAGCTGGGATGGTCTAGGACAACAGGCTCTCAGGGGGTTGACCCCTGAGGAATGGGAGGGGGAAAGAGGGACTCTGAATGATTTTGGACTAGAGAATAACCATTGGGACCACAGGAAGAGTAAAAAAAAATGACGCCGCAGGGTTATGTTTAAACTATTGAACTCACCTGGGTATCCTTTGAGGACCTCAGAAATACAGTATTTGGTATCTCGCTGTTGGCTCTTCTGGGACTACCACTGAATTTCCTTGATCCCACTGAAACCGCCCCATTTTCACAGCAGTTATAAGGCTGAAACACATTTTAAAATGTTTAAGCATCATCTGAGCTTTTCCCTTGTAAAAGAATGTTAGCTCTTCACTGGATTCAGGATTCCTCTTCTCTACAGTTTAACATCCCCAGTGATGATCCTTCCCGCATAATGAAGATCTCGAACCACAAGGTGGGATTGCTAAAGTTTATTTGTAATCAAGCACGTTTTCTTACGGCAAACCCACTTAAAAATGGTTGAGTGAAAAAAGCCCAAGAACCAACATTGCTCTATGTGCTAGGGGAAACAGCCCTCCTCCTCTGTGGCATTTGCTGGCAGTGCCCTGACACTGCCAGGACTCCAGATTAAGTGTCCGGCAGCCTGCAGGTGATCTTATGCTGGACTTACTGACAGTTGCTAGGCGCACAAGCTTCACAGAAACCAGTACTTCACCTTGGGATATTTCTCTGAATGCTTTCTTTCTAAAAAGTACTATCTTAAGAATGCAGCTTCTGGGTGAAGGGACAGAGGTAGGCAAGTCAGTCACTTTAAAGGTGGCTGAAGACCGGGTTGTGAAAGGTTTTAGCTAACCTGCATGGCTTAGCTTAGGAAAACACTGGCTAACCTGATACCTTTGTTAGTACTGACTGACGGTTTTCAACCAGGGAGCGCTGTATGTAGGTATATAAGAAACTAAACTAAGCCAAGTTGTCATAAAACCAAAGGTCTGTGTTGTTGAATTAAAAAAAAAAAAACACGGAAAGTGAAAGGGTGGTCTGGATTGGAATCCAATACAAAGAAATCTAACCATAAGCACTGAGGGAATTACTGAGCAGCTACCAATTTTCAACCTGCAAAAATGGTAGTTAGACTGGGACCAAACATGCATTTCAGACCTTTGTCTTTCTTTGTATAATGAAAACTGTCACACCCAGTTGAAACTTGGAGGTCAGTGTAGTGGCACAAGTCTTTAAGATCAGCAATCTCAAGACAGAGGCAGAAGTATCTGAGGTTCAAGGCCAGCCTAGTATACTTAGAGAGACCATCTCAAAAAGTAAATACAAATCTTGAAACACTGAATTTTAAATTAGGTTAAAAACAAAAATCTACAATCTAAGGCACAAAAGCAGAAACATGAGTCTAGGCAGATGTTTCTCTTCATAACTGTCAAAGTATAGAACCCCGAGAAAATGCTAGCTAGCACCCTACTGGTGATTTGGTCCCCATGCCTCATTTGTCAGAGACCCTACTCACTTTCAGTGACATTTACATTATCAGTTAATCCAATTTCCTGTTTATCAAAATGACTCATATTCTAGTGACAAGGCCAAAGAGCAATATGCAGTTCTCAGTGAAGTGGCAAATCCATGTTCATAGTCCCTCTTGCAGGTCACTAACATTTGACCACTCATACAGTCAGCATGCTTATGCGTAAGATGTAAATGCTTTAAAAAAAATATTAACTTGTGTTACCTTGCATAC